TACGATTTCGTCAACTTAGTGAGTTTGATAGGGGCCGTATAGTAGGACTTCGGGAAGCTGGACTTTCTTTTCGGGCAATTGCAGTTAGAGTGCAAAGAAGTGTAGACACTGTGGTAAGGTGTGGTCAGGCATGGCTTCGAGAAGGCCGTACGCAAAGAGCAAGGGGCACTGGACGCCGCCGTAAAACAACAGACCGTGAAGATCGCCGCCTAAGATTATTGGCCTTAAGGGACCGTTTCTCCACTGCCGGGTCCATTGCAAATGGATGGTTTGCAGAACACGGAAGACCTATTGGCATGCGAAGTGTTTACCGACGAATGAGGAGTTTTGGCTTGTTTTCATACCGGCCACACTGGGTCCTCCCTTTAACTCGAGACCACCGACGTAATCGCCTTGAGTGGTGCAGACAACGGTCACTCTGGGATCAGGAATGGAACAGTATTATCTTTAGTGACGAGTCTCGATTTTGTTTAGGCATGCACGATGGTCGTGCCAGGGTTAGAAGGCGACGTGGTGAAAGGAGGTATCCACAGTGTTTTGTTGAAAGACATGTTCATCACACTGTTAGAGTTATGGTTTGGTGTCCTATAGCTTATGGTTCCAGGTCACCTTTAATCTTAATCAGAGGTAACATGAACGCGCAGCGTTATATCCACGAAGTTCTAGAACCCCATCTTTTACCCTATCTTGACACCCTGGCAGATCCAACTTTCCAACAAGATAATGCCCGACCACATGTTGCAAGTGTCACAATAGACTTCTTTCAACATAATGATGTCACATTGTTACCATGGCCACCAAGATCTTCCGACTTATCCCCAATTGAGCACGTGTAGGATATGATGGGTAGGAGATTGCTCAATTTGCAACGTCCTCCTCAGACTCTAGAAGCACTTCGAGAGGAGTTGGTGGTTGCCTGGAACGAGATACTACAGGAGGACATTGACCACCTGATCAGAAGCATGCCTAGGCGCGTTGGAGAATGCATAGCACATCAGGGTGCATCCACACATTATTAAAGGTCAAAGGGCTTTAAAGCAGTGCAATCATTTTGAAATTTTTATCATTTACTTATTATGCTTCATTAAGTACTTATACAAAATTTTATTAAAATAAAACCATTTAAACTGGGTGTTCGGATTTATATGTCACTTAGTATATCTTTCCTAAAATAAATTCAAGAACTCAAATTCTAATTTATTTATTCATGTCAATAAACACAATTATGTTTACAACGGTCTGTGGTAGATGGTAACAATTGAACGAGGGTCATAAAATATCTTATGACGTCAAAATAAGAGGAAACAGTTAGGTAGTTTTTGCAAAGCAATAAACAGGTAGGCTTATACCTGGATTAAGTACATGCCTTGTCTAATGTAATAGGTAGATGGAGGTGATGCTGCCAGAAATGGATGTGTGGGATCAAAAACAAACCACAAGATTGAACTGCCGTGTCCAATGATTTTTGTACTGCCCTTTTTTTATTGCCTTACTAGAAAACTCTGTTGGGTATATGATGAAGTTTATTAGAATTTTACAGCTTGTTGTCTGCCTTCTTCTACAAACTTCACCAAATGTTTTCGCCATTTCTACATTTGAATAATTCACCATTATTAAAAAGATTGTAAAACTAAATAATGAAAAAGATGTCACAGCGAACAGGTTTGCATAACATATTCCAGAGCAACTAGATATTTATTGCTAAATTGCATTCTTCAATTATTACATTAATTTTCTCGGACAATAGAACGATTTTATTTTTTTACTCAAAAATGACGCATCGAAGGAAAGCAACTCACGAGAGATCATTTGTTTTAAATTGAACAGGAAATTCAAAAATAATTTTATTTGGCAAAAAACCATTGGCGTACTATTTTTTCTTAAAAAATGTCGAAGTCAATACCCGTACACACGCCACTGTTAGAGCTGAAAATTATTTTTGCATTGAAAAATATACATCTTTACTAACTTTCACTACGTACTAAATATTAGTGGAATATCTGAAGCGGTTCTAAAAATATTAATTAATTTCCACTTTTTTCCTAAAACTTCGACACCCCGAGTTTTTGCAAATAAGCATTTTTGGATCATAGTTATGGAGAAAACTAACATTAATTTTTCATGTAGATACACACCCTTAAATATTTGCATATCATTAAGGAACACACTCTATAGTACAAATATCTCCATACAAAGTGCTATATTTTAGGACCTAATCTTCTGTGATCGAATAGTTATGTATGTATCCAGGGCATAAAGAGAGTGTCTATAGCACTGGGTGTGAAGTCAGACGCTTTGTTGTCACTTCGTCTACTGTCAAACACTGACTATTAAAACAGAGTAAAGGATAGCCGTTGATGAGGTCAGTGCTTTTCCAAAGTTGACATTATGTGTTGAGTGTCGTAACCATAGGGACACCGTCCATCCTTGTCCAGACTTGATACATTATCAAACCTAGAACGGAGACTAAGTAGATTCTCTTTGTATGTATATTTGTAGGCTGAAACTCGGAGGAATCTGTGGTTGCTATATTGCAGCCCAGCTAATAACGCGAACTGTTACACATCGTTCGTATCTAGCCCGCATTCACATACTGACAGCAAGTGGCACTGGTGGTCATCGTCTTAGACTTATTATGAGCTTGCGTATGCTCCTAATTCATTGTCCAAGTTAGCTGATTATGCGATCACCCCTTCCACCAAATTTCCAAGTCCGAAGATGGACAAGGATTAATTTCCAGCGAGAAGAGGCACTCCAATTTTCCGTAGATACTAATTATGCACGAACATGGCTTCGTCCTCAAAAGGGTTCATGTCGGATGGCTGGACGGGGTCGCCAGACGGTAGAGAGCCGCAGGCGATTAGGGATCCCTGATTTTTCGCAGGACGTTATAGCCAGTCAGTTGGACAGTGGCAGTGACGATTCTGTCTAGGATAAGGCGCAAATCACAGATTTCAGAAAAGGGGTTGTCTGTCAATCCTATTATGTATCCATCGGAGAAAGAGACCAAACCTAAACATATTCACGTATACTCCACATGATCGCGCTCCAGAACACCGAGCACGTAACAGGGCCTTACTAGGAATAAATGATTTGTGGTTTTACGACACGATCAATAAGAATGCAAAATTATTGCGGGCATATGTATATGGTCCAAACAAAGCTTGGAATTGATATATTATCTCAATTTAACTGTCATGACCAAAAAAACAACTGTCTATTGTTGTTTTTAGTATAAGTTTTTTATCAAGAAGCTATACTCTAAATGTGTGGTAAGGCGCATTTATAAAGCAGGCTTTTGAAAAATGTCTTGACAGATTAAAACAATAATTGCATATGCATATACCTAACCACCGCTTGAATAGGGACGACAGTGTGCAAATAGTTAGTTCAAATATTAGACTAAAGAATGAATAGAGAGGTGGGGTTGAAAGAAAAAGGATTTGAATACATATACTAAATATTATAAAAAAATTATTGCACAGATAGTTTACCTCTAAAACTGGAAATACATGTATTATTATTCTACATGATTTATGATTAAAAGGGCAACGTACGTATCAATCATACCGTCCAATGCTGAATACATTTTCCCACTAATTCGGTGTTATTCTTTGTATAGCATCATGAAAAATTTAAAACTTTCATTTTCTACTGCAACATATTTTTTGTCTCCCCAAATGAGCTCAATCGGATTGAGCTCACAATTGTATGGAGGCAGCCGTAAAACAGTTGTATTTTTTGTGGCCATTTCATCAATTATGTTCAGGATATATTTATTTTTATGCGTCTTGACAATTTGTAACAATTCTGCCTTAACCATTGTATCATCATAATCAATCTTTTATTTTTATGCCATCCTTGAATTCCTAATTTTTTTGTAGACGAATTTTCTCGTGTGGTATGAAGCATTATCTAATACTATAACCGAATTATCTTCAAGCTTCGGTAGAGTAATTGAGAACCAATTTTCCAACGAGGCTCCATCCATTTTTTCGTGGTAGTCTCCCGTTTTTTCGGATTCAAATGCCTATAAAGCATCGGATACAAGTCCATCTTCATTACCGATGTGGTAAATAATCAATCGCTTCCCTTTTCCAAAAATTATTTTGGACACCTAAAAACCGCTGCCATTGAAAGCATTAGAAACCCAGCAAAATAATCACTTGATTTCTTATCTTGATATATTTTAAGCATGTAGAAAAACAAAAATTAAAATATAATTTTAGTTGAAATTCCTCGTCTTACAAGTATTAAAAAATATGTAGGTGCGCAATCATATCAGAAATACGTACGTACCTGTTTTGAAATATTACCTGAGCGATTTTTTAATCCAGTGGATAATCCATTCAAGGAAGCTTGCTTTAAAGATTTTATGGAGGAATAAATCCAAACCTTCGCCTGTGTATGCTCAGCGTTGACCCATGTTCCATCTAGGTAGTATATTTTCCTACCTTTTGCACGAAATTTTCTGATTTATCTTAGATAGTTCGTTCTTCAAATAACTACATCATATTTTTCCAATAAAGACCGTTTCATCCTCGCTTTTTGAATTGAAACCCCATTTCTTTTAGAAATTTATGGTAGATCTCTTGAAACTTGGCAAGTCATTATCCTCGTTAACCAGCTTCAGCACTTTATCCACCGTTGGTGATTCATTACGAAAGAAAAAATTGTGTGCAATTCTTATTATGGCAGTTCTGTCGAAGGCATCTATGGCATCGTTGATTTCTTTTCTTGGCGGATACTTTTTGGGTCGGCCAGTTAATGGTTAGATCTGTACTCCCAAACAATTCGCACGACTAATATCCGAAATAGTTGCTACTTTGCAAACAATGTCCTGACCACTTGAGTCACTCCTTCCTTGCATTTAGCGTTCATAAATGTTGATAATTACTTGTTTTTCGCTAACGCTAAAATGAAGCATTTTAGCTCTTTTTTTAGGCGGTGTGCAGCTTATATCAACAGCTTCATCAGCTGTATCACTTAGACCTATAACTAATAGAACATCTAAACAAATAAACAATGTGCGAATAAATGCGCGAAGTTAACAAAGTAGCAATTGAAAGACTAACATTGGGTAACATCACCTTTATTTTTTGTTACGGCTGAAAGTCTTTGGGGCATAGTGTTAGCCAAGTTTCGGCAAAAATTTGGTGTAAAACAATCCCATATTTCTTGAAGCTTTTGTCTCAGTTCGGTGATTGTACGAGCAGGATGTTGTCGTAGAACCTTTTTCATCTCGTGCCACAAAGTTTCAATATGTGACAGATCTGTACTGCTAGAAACCCATTTCAAAAGTGGTACATTATTTTCTTCCATCCATTTTATAGCCTTTTTTGAGGTATGGCACGCTGCACCATCTTGCTGAAACACAAAATCTTGGCCGGATGTCAAACATTCTTCCATCACTGGTAAAAGCGATTCTTCTAAAATTGCCAAATACTTGTTTGTATCCACATTTCCATCAATAAAATGAGGTTTTCCTACTCCCTTTGATGACATACTGCCCCGGACCATAATGCATGCTGGAAATTTCACTTTTCTCTTCAGACAGTCAACATGGAAAGTTTCATTTTTTTGCCAATAACTCTACTGCGACTGTCACCAACACAAACTTCGAATCGATCCTCATCACTCCATTGTATTGCACACCATTCTTGAGGTGTCCATTGTCTATGTTCTTTAGCCCATCTAAGCCGATTTTTCTTTTGCAGTGGAGTTAGTAGTGGCTTTTCTTTGGCCTATAAACAAGTTGTGCAATTTTAGGGTTTTTACATCATATTTTATTATAAGAAAACTTACCTTGCAAGTGCTAAATCCCAGTTTGTGAGCCTCTCTATGAGTTGTCGACCTCGAAATTCTCCTTCCAACAGCGTCACCCGACAGAGCACTTAATTGTAAATAATTGGCACGCCTGTTTTTCACGATTATTCTTCTTAATGCTCTTCGGTCGGCATTTGTGATATTACTTTCTTTCACATATCGTGCCTTAATATTAACTGAACCAGTTACGTTATATCTTCTAATAATATTTCTCACACTGTACCCCGATAAGTCTAACAAAGCTGCAATTTCTGAGTTTGATTTCCCAGAATTAAAAAATTTAATTATCAGTAACCGAATTTTCTCACTAATAACCTTCACTCTACCCATTTGAAAACCTTAACTACCCAAAACTATTTTAAACGTTTTCTGTCAGCTGTGATTAATAAAAACAATTGTCATGTCTTTTCTTTTTCACAGCAACCTATGCGTGATAGACTTATTCTGCACTGAAGTGAAAATAGGTTGATATGCTGTAATTGCAACATGTGTTATTTTTATGCTGCAAATTTGATTAGGGAGTGATAAAGTTGGTGTTTTCTACTATATATTATCAAAGTATTCATTGTTAATATTTTAAACCTATAACACCCTGCTACATTTTGATTATTTATGTTTGATAAGAAAAAAACTAAGATTTCAATAGTTGGGCCAACTGAAGTGGGAAGGGCCTCGTATAGCATTAACGGCTAGCCACCGGACCAACCTGCATGCACGGTCTTAACGTCTCCCACTCCACCCTCTGGTTTGTCATTGGTTCTGTGTAAGGGAACGACCTATGCTGCCCAATATCAGTTACTCTTTTAAAATGTTTTAGTGTGTTGATCACGCAATGATCACGCGATGATCACTGTTTTGGTTTAGTCTCTTTCTTCGATACATACATAATAAGCGTCACTGCAGGTCGTATTGTATCCCCCGTATACACTGGCTAAGCCACTGTGTTCCGCCTTGATCCTTCAATCAGGCTCTATCGGCTTGACACAGGCCGTTGCGTGTAGCTTTTCGCCGTTGGATGTGTCTAATATCAGAAACATTAGTCTTGCCAAGGCTTCGCAGTGACATAAGAGATGCACCCTCTTAAGAATGAGCGTGTGGCCTCTTCTGCTAGACCGCAGAGACTCATATGTCGACTTACTTTTTTGAAAAGAAATCTTTATTCATCAGTGAATTTTCATAAATTTTATATGGAACAAAGTTCTCTAATCTGTGTTTACACTGGCCTCGAAAATAGGAATATTTAAAGTTCGAATTTAACAACAACAAATTCAACTATTCAAGTGACTACATAAGTGCTGAATAAATACACATTTGGTAGATTATTTCATGTTTTTACTGCATCCATGATAGGTTTATTTAATCCTATATCAGTTCCAGTAGGAATCTGGTACAAAATATTATGTTTTCTAGTCATACACAACGTGTGTAATCAGAATTTTTGTAATAATTTTTTGTTGGTTATTAAAAATCTTGAAATCATTTTACATTGTTATAATTCCAACAGCTTATCTAGTATACTAACATTCAATTTTGCTTACATATTGGCAAGTCAGCCATAGTTGAACAAAATTCTTAATTCTCCTGCGAAACTTGTGCTTTCTGAAATTAAGTTTTACCACACATTCCGCAAATAGGTAACATATATTTAAAGTGTGCGAAGAAAAATGCATTATAAGTGTTGATTTTACTCTTTGTAAAATTAACGCAAGATTTGAATTTGCCGCCATTTGTGCAGTGAAGTGTTGGCAACCCTGAAAAAAAGCAATTTGACAGCTAACAGTATAGGGTTATGAAAAATGGAGCGTTACACGATAGAACAACGTGTCTTCATTATTAAAGAATATTTCAAAAATAGTGAAAGCTTGGCGGCTGCAGTTCGAAAATTTCATACAAAATATGGCCGGAATAGTGTTTTAACTTCGTCAACTGTGAAGAGATTAATTGAAAAATTCATGGAGACTGGATCCGTTGGAGACGCCAAACACACTGGTCGTCCAAAAACAAGCCGTTCAAATGTGAATATCGAAGCAGTGCGTGAGAGTGTTGCGGACAATCCAGGAACCTCAATTCGACGTCGTGGACAAGAATTGCAAATGTCAAGAACCTCTCTACAGCGTATACTCACCAAAGATCTGTGTCTTCATGCTTACAAACTTCAATTAACACAACAATTGAAGCTTAATGACCATGCAGAGAGAAGAGAGTTTGTTGAATGGATTATTGAACATCAACAAATGGACCCTGATTTTTCAAGCAAAATCATCCTAAGCGATGAAGCACATTTTCATCTTGATGGCTTTGTCAATCGCCAAAATTGCCGCATTTGGGGTTCGGAGAACCCACGTGTGATTGTCGAAAAAGAAATGCACCCACAACGCGTGACTGTCTGGTGTGGATTTTGGGCTGGAGGCATAATTGGGCCATATTTTTTTGAAAATGATGCTGGTCAAGCAGTGACTGTTACTGGTGCTCGATATCGCGACATGATTACACAGTTCTTTCTGCCAAAATTGAATGATATTGATGTACCCAATATGTGGTTTCAACAAGACGGTGCCACATGTCATACAGACCGTGAAACAATTCAATTACTGCATGAGACATTTCCCGGTCGTGTACTCTCTCGTTTCGGTGATCAAAATTGGCCTCCTAGATCGTGTGATTTAACACCATTAGACTTCTTTTTATGGGGTTATTTGAAATCACAAGTCTATGTCAACAAGCCCACAACCACCCGTGCATTAAAGGAGGAGATTCAACGCTGCATCAACGAAATTCAGCCACATTTATGCAGAAGGGTCATGGAAAATTTCGACAAAAGAGTGCGCATGTGCATGCAAAGCCGTGGAGGCCATTTGTCCGATGTGTTATTCCATACATAACCCTATCCTATGTACTTTATGAGTCAATAAAAATATAACTATTAAAAGACTAAAATGGCATTTTCTATTTAATTCAAATCTTGCGTTAATTTTGGGACACCCTTTAGTTAAGTATTCTCTGCTGTGGTGCAAAGCAGCTGTCATCGACGTTGTTTTATCCATAAAAATTTTAATGTGACTAGACCAACGCAAATTCTCATTTCTAGCGAAGCCCAGGTATTTGATACTTGATACTTTTTCTACTTTGACTGTACAGACATTTACAGTAAAGAGCAAGGTCTAAATTAACTTCATCACGCAGAGCCTGTTCATTATTTCTTTTTTAGAAAAGAACTGTATCGTCAGCAAAAGTGGGATACTGGAAAACCCTGGGGCCTATGGTCACTAGACAACCACTCACTATTTGGTTCATCAATTTTCACATATTGTGTCCTGATAAGTAAACAAGTTGTAATTCAAATGCCTTTCTTTAGTCTATAAACACCGCTATAACGACTTGTTTTTCATTCAGAGCCCGTGACAATTTTCAAAACCAACTGGTAACTATCAGCTAATGTGCTTTCATCTATCATTCTTTTCTTGATGATTTTTTTAACAATTGTAGATAAATCACCGATCACAGATATTGGCCTAGAGAGTAATTTTACTGATTTTAAGATCGTCCGGAAATGTTTCAGTTATAATTATATTGTTAATTAATTTTACTTCTTTAAGGTCTGCGGTTGAGCATATCCACCAATCTATTTTTAATTCTAGTATGGTTTTGTCCACCTTTTGTTCATCAGTGACGCCTACCAAAACAGTGTTATGCACATAAACTTAGTTTCTTTTTTAATATTCACACCTGATGATCTAATTTTATTTTCTAATTTTTTGCAATAATACTACCACCATTAGAGTAATATCTATTTAAGTCATTTTTTATATATATCTTATCATGCACGACAAAATTGCCAATCTTCAAACAATCAATATTTTGTTCTTTAAAGGAACAATGATGAACGTCCTTTGCATTTTCATGATGCTACCAGCTAAATTAAACTTAGTCCGAAAATTACAATTCTTCAAGGTTTTTGTTTTACTGTTTATTCGGTTTTAATTTTTCTAATTCCGCAACTAAATTTAGATTTAGAGTTGTGTAGACTTTTGTTTGTAAACTTTATCCATTTTCTCTACCTTTCCAAGTATTTATTCATCTATCCAGCTATTATTTTCACGTATCTTCAATACTATTTTCTCTCTGACTTGACCTTGCATTCTTGCATTATATATTAATTAGGTACTGAAATGTCGTAATATTCACTTTTTGTGCCATCTATGAACAAAATACTCCAATCGCTTATAATCTACAGCTTCTATTTCATAAACTACCTTTGGTTATAAATATGTCCTACAGTTTTTAGTTCTGTGACAAACTCTTCTGCGTGCCTTTGCCCCAACTGGCTGTTCAACCATTCTATGGACTTTTTCTTCCAGTCGTCTTTCAAGCCACAGAAAAGTTCTAGGTTAGTTTTTCTCAAAGTGGTGGATGCTGGGTATCTACGGGGGGGGGGGGGGGATAACTTCTAAACCTTTCTTAACGATCTCTCTTAATGTATGCTGATGATAATACAATATTTGTTTCAACCGCCTACAATTTAACATTGTACATTGGGAATGCAGCAGGTGATTAATAATCT